TTTCAGGATTTACAGGAGCTCCATGATCAACAGGTGGCCAGCGTGGGGACACTGGAGAGATGTCTAGAAGTCTGGTCACCTGTCATTTCCTAACCTAACTCCCCTTCTTTCCCCCTTGCCTAAAGATTGAAAGGAGCTCAAGCATCTTCTGAGTTAAGGCAGTCTTTCAGGCTGCTAGCCCACCATCAGCTCAGTTTTGTTAGCAAATAAATGATTTTTCCTCACCCCCCAAACTGCCCTTGATTCACTGGGCCCTTTTCCAGCAGGGGAGTAAACAGACTTGGGTTTGGTGGGAAATGTAAGATTCTCAAGTTTTATGTCCTTTTCACTGATTACTGTAGCAGTATCATTAAAGAATTCTAAAGAAACAACTCTATCATTGTATTTATGCTAACCTGCCTGTGTAAATCCTAACCTCTTTCTTACCCACTGCTTAGTGATGTTGTTGTGAACAGAGGCATGATGTTCCTTGAGACACTTTAGTTATTTCCTATTGCAAAAGTGATCTATCCCATTGCCTAAAGGCTTAAAAAATGTCAAAAGGAGAACTTCTTTCTAAAACTCATGACCCAGAGATAAACATTCCACATATGGAAAAATATGTATCTACATTTTATTTAGAAAATTGGGAGTATGAAAATATTTAATGGCTTTTATTTAAGGCAAAAATTCTGATTTAAATTACTTTTGGAATGAAAACAAGATTATTACTAATGTAGCACAGAGCATGGGGTTGGGTTCTTTCTCTCATAAATTTAAAGAATATAAACTTCTATGGACACAAGAGTGAGAGCAAAGTAACAGAATTTATTAGAGTAATAGAAAGCAGAACTCCCCAAGGTGGGGGGTGGTCCCAGAGAGGGACACTGAAGTGTGGCAATTGTCTAGGGGTTTATATAGATATAGAGGTTTAAGGAAGTCAACCCCCTGCCCACTCCTGGGCATGGCATGCAGTGTCCATGCAGCCTTCAGTCTAGTCAAAATGTCCATCAAGCATTTTTTCTTCTGTGGAGAAGCAAGGACCAGGGTCAAATAGGGTCCTGATTTAAAATTAGTCTTTTTGTAAGTTTCTTAGCAAATATCTGCAGGTGCTATTTGTACTCACTGCCCAGGAAGTGACCCAGGCCCATCTCCCTGTCTGCTCAGTCTTATCTCCTCCTCCTGATTTCACTAACACATCTGTCATGACATTATCTGGGGATCTATTTTCTTGGCAATTTGGCCATGACTTCACCACTATGAAAGATTTAAGTGGGATATGGCATTCTTGGGAGCCTTCCACATCCTGAAAAGTCCAAATCCCACATAGGGCATGACGTTTTCCTTGCAGACACCACAATATTTCCATACAAAACTTTTATGTTTTCTTCTTCTTCTTCTTTTTTTCTGTTAAAACGTTTAAATCACATTCAAATCCTTTTAAATGTTGTTGATGTGAGCATCCTGGGAGGCTGGTTTTCTTGCTTCTAGAATTTTTGCATGGAAGAGGCCTCATAGGAAGGGGGGGCAGTAGAAGAACGTTTAACAGAGAAACTGAGGAATTGGGTGGCAGATGGCATCTGGATGTTGAGTTTGCTCAGCAACATGTCGGGCATAGACACATTTCAGGTTCTGTGGGAGTTGAATGTCGATCATGTCCTCCAAGAATCCCTTCACATGGCCAACACGATGGATTTCTTGAAACACACAGCACAGAGTCTTTGTCCTGTCCTAATGGCTAAAAAGTGACCCAGTGGCGGTTCAGATTGTCCATGGGGAAGGAGGCTGTAGCTCAGATGGTCTTTCTAATCAGTCTGGAATGGTAATTATTTGAAAATGACATATAAGTTTGTAGAAAAGTAACTTACAAGTTCTGTTTAAAAAAGGAAAGAAGAATTTGTTATATAAATAGATTTTAGTTGCTTGGTTTAAAAAAAAGGAATATGAGATGATGGATAAGTTAATTTGCCTTATTACAGTAACCATTTTATATTCTGTATGTATCCTATATTCATGTGGCACACCTCAAATATACACAGGGAATTTTAAAATTACATCTGTTAAACCTGTTGTGCCTGGGGTATGACCACTGGCAGATCTTAGCCACCATCCAGCTCCCTAGTTTTTGAAATGTTTAGTCAGCAAATAATAATCATATATGTCTATGGGGTTTAATATCTCTCTCTCTCTCTCTCTCTCTCTCTCTCTCTCACACACACACACACACACACACACACACACACACACACTTCAAATGAAGATTTCAATCACAAAATTGTCTTGCCTGATGGATTTCTTAGGGCTTGACCAACAGGCTACATTGGATTTAATTTTGTTGATTTTGGTTTTTCTCAGAAGTCTCATCTTCCTACATTTCCTAACCCTTAAGTTACAGAAGATAAGAGCAGGTAAATGTGCTGCAAAAACACACACAAAAATGTATCTTTCAAAAGATGGATCTGAACTAGGTATGGTGGTCCATGTCTGTAATCCCAGGAGCTGGAGAGGCTGAGGCAGGAGGATCATGAGCTCAAAGTCATTCTCAGCAACAGTGAGGCGCTAAGCAACTCAGTGAGACCCTGTCTCTAAATAAAATACAGTGTGGGGGTGTCATGTGGGTCAGTGGTTGAATCCCCTGATTTCAATCCCTGGTACCTCTCTGCCAAAAAAAAAAAAAAAAAAAAAAAGACGTATCTGAACTCCACTTCAGTGTATGTGTTTTTCTGAGAACAGGAAGAACATTAAGGAAAGGCTGCCATTGTTATCTATTGCCCATCACCTACTATTAAAGGAAAGAGTGTTGAATTCTCTCTTTCCATATCTTCCCCGTCCCCAGGGAGTTTTTTATTCCTGCATCTGTGGAAGCTCAGCACACTCCTACTGATTTAGATGGGCAACCTCACTCGAGCCTTATGAATGCTGTGCTTCAGAAAATTATTCAGAACTGATTACAAGACAAATGTTTTGTTTTTATTAAATGAGCCAAGGAAGGGATTCCAAAATGAGAGGAATATTCTCCAATAACTCAAACCCTGGAGATGCCCAGTTTAAGGAGACACTGGAAGATAAAATGACATCAGGGAACCAACACAGCGGTCCAGTGCCCAAGATGGTAGAAACACCTGAATTTCCCCATCTGATGGCTTCCTATTTTTTGGAACAAAAGTTGATGTTTCTTTTCCTCAATGTGTATATCATTCCTAGGGCTGTGGTGGAGGGAGGGGGTGGTGAATCCATTCAATTATCTACAACATGAGGCAGATTTTGACGGCTCCATGAGAGAGAAACCGAACCTATTGTAATTGATGGGGTAGACAAAATAATGACCCCAAAGATGTCCACACCCTAATCCCATAGCCTGTGAGTGTTACCATGTCTGGAAATGGAACTTCTCAAGAAGGAGTATGTTAAAGATTAAAAAATCTAATTTTACATTAAATCTATTTAGATGGCACATATTAATGGTATAATGGGATGTTTTCATGCCTGTCTACAGTGTGAGTGTTTACATCAGGTTAAACATAACTATCTCCTCCAACATGCATTCGTTATTTGTGGTAAAATCTCAAAATCTTTTCTTCTGGCTTTTAAGGAGATGTGGTGTTGGGATGGAACCTGGGGCCTTGCACATGCCAGGCAAGGGCCCTCCCACTGAGCGGCCCCCAGCCCCTCAGAGCTGTTGGAAAGGCACAGCACACTTTGTGTTCTAGTGACCCTCCTGAGCGACCTACCACAGAGCTTCTTCCTCCTGACTGTAACTTAGTACCCGCTGATCAAGCTTTTCCCACCCCCTCCTCCCCAGCCTCTGGGAACCACTGTTCTACTCTTTTTTTCTATGAGATCAATGTTTGCATTTCACATATCACTGGGATCATGCATGTTAAGCATCTTGGGATGACAAAATTGTCCTGGATTGTCCAGGTGAGGTTAAGGTCAACACCAGGGTCTTTAGGAGATTCAGATAAGGGTGGGTGGGAGGGAGAGAGAATAATGTAAGGTCAGCACACAGGCAGGCATGATGGTGGAGTCCAGGAGACAGGGGAAGCATGGTCTGCATACAGGAGGAGAGAAATCCTGCCAATACCAGGAACATGAGCTCTGGGATCAGGGAGTGACCCTACCGTACTGGGTCTGGAGGTGTCGGACACAGCCTTGCTAGACAGAGTGTAGGACTCAGATTCAGTTGTCCATTTCCAGATCCTCTCGAGCCATTTCTTGTACTGCTCCTGGACCTGCAGAGGCAATTTACGCTCTGGGTCAGCTCACAGAGAGTGGTGCGGGTGGGGAGGCATGGGTGGGAGCTGGGCAGGGTTACCTGTTGGCTGAGGAGGCAGTACACCAGGAAGATGAAGACACCCTGCAGGCTGTTGACAATGGTGAAGAGGTAGGCCATGATGGGGGCCAGGGAGCCCACCTGCAGGACACCCAGACACCACGTGCAGCCCAAGATGAAGAGATGAGCCATTGCTTTAAATGTCAGCATCCTAGGTTGGGGGACAATGGAGGCTTATAATGCACCCACAACAAAATCAGGCTATTCCCCTCTCCACCCATGGATGCACCTACTCTCCCCTGTAAGCAATTTCTTGGACTGAACTCTGATCTTTACTCTCAATGATACCCCACAATAGAAATGCCATTTTGGGTCCAGGATAGCTTTTTGACTTGGACCCAGGACAGTGATAATTCATAAGCTTACTTCAAAGAGTTTTATGATGTTCCATGAAGATCCTTAAGTTCATTAATCCAGCATTACTGAGGATGCCCCGTGCTAGGGCTTGGACATAAAAAAATTACAAAGAGAAGCTGGGGGCAGGGGTGCACACCTGTTGCCCCAGCTACTCAGGAGGCTGAGGCAAGAGGATTGGTTGAGCCCAGGAATTGGAGGCCAGCCTGGGAAACATAGTGAGACTGTATCTCAGAAAACAAACACAGGGCAAAATTCCTGTTTTCATTAATTTTATGCTCTGTTCAAGTGTCTAATACAACTAAATGATGATATGCAAAAATTTGAAAGGTTAATCAGAGGAACCCAGAAGAAAGAGCATGAATTTTATACAAGATGCTGAGTGAAGGAACAATCCCGCCCCCTGGAGGATTGAACTGGGGTAAGCAGCAGAGCCCTGAGTCTGAGATGGCAGCCATGGAAGCACAGCCACATTTGTTAATTGTGGGCCACTCAGAAGCCCCAGAGGAGGCACATGGCTCTACACTTGGGCATCATTGGCATCTATGTCCCCTGGTCCATCTCACCTCGTGTTCTGGAGGGTGGACACATCTCTGTTGATGGAGGACAGCTTGCTCTTCACAATACAGAGGGTCATCAGGAAGAAAACCATATTGACCTTCAAGAAACCACAGAAGCAAAAGAAAGACAGCAGCATGAATCTGACATAATTTTCCTGTGTACATATATGACAACATCACCGTGAATCCCACCATCATGTACATTCACAAGAATGGGCTCCTAACTAGATAAGGTATATTCCATGCTTGTGTAATTATATCAGATGGATTCTACCATCACGTATAACTAAAAGAACACCCCCCCAAAAAAAAAGAAACTGCAGAATGTTTATTAATATTTTATTTTCTCTTTTGCAGTTCTGGGGAAGGAACCCAGACCCTAGTGCATACCAGGCAAGCTCTCTGCCCTTGAGCTACACCCCCATACCCCATGGCAAAGTTTTATTGAATAAAAATTTAAATCTGTTATCTCTCCATTCTAGCCCTTGCAGCATCCATTCTACACCTGAGTGGCTTTTAGTATTTGACAGTAGGGTTAGAATTTGTAGATGTAGAAGTCTTGGAAAACCCAACGCAACCCATAACAATACAGGGATAATCCTGTTCTATCACCATCCTTAATATCCTGCTCTTCTAGTAACCCTCAGATGGACAGGAAGGAACTCTGATGACATCACTCACACAAGAGATGGCACAGGCAGGTCCAAGGAAGCCCCACACAAACCCGTTTTTGGGGTTGAGCCAGCAGCTGAGCAAGAGAGAGAACAACATCACTTTGCTGTGTTCATGTAGGACTCCATGACCAGTGTCACTCCACACATGCCCAACCACAAGGACGGGAAGTCAGACTCCCTGTATGTGTGATATGTTATAGTACACTCTCTGTTTAAGCTCTGAAATAATCAAAATGCTACTTTGGTTCAAGTGATGGCCGTGGACATGCTCAAGAGGAGAAGGACAAGTGGGGTCCGCATTTACCGAGCAGGGGTGCCATACAGGTGAGGTCTGGCTGCTGCAGACATGGCCACGATGGCGGCCGGGACCCCGTAGCCCACAGGGAACATGAGCCTCCTCATGAGCCTGTTTCTGCTGGAGTAACTGAGTACGGTCAGGTTCCGCGCTGTGAGGAAGAGGAACAGCCCCTCCAGCAGCATCCAGGTGAAGGAGGCCAGGTAGAGGTAGTGCAGGGCACCTGCAATGACCGCGCACAGCACCTGGGGAGGAGAGAGACCCCAGGGCACAGTCAGGGTCTGGGTGTGGCCCTGGATGCCCCTTGCGCCCTGTGGTGGGGGAATCTGCTGTGCACCAGGTGCTGCACTGTGTTGCTTCAGCCATGGGCTGCGTGTGTGCTCCCATAGATCACAGCAGAGCTGGAAAGGGCCTGCTGCCCAGTGACATCACAGCGTCCCAGTGCTGCCCTGCGGAGTTCCTCATGCAGTAGTGGTGACATCACAACCTCCCAGGGCTGCCCTGTGGCATTCCTCATGCAGTAGTGGGGATGATCTTGTGGACAAACCCACTGTGCTGCCGGTTACAGAACAGCAGGGCCACACAATGACCCACAGGACCTAATACTTACAAATGGCAACCAATGGTCATGTGACGTCTTATGCATTTACTGCACTATGATTTTAACATTATTTTAGAAATGACTGTAGTTCACAGGGTTTAGTATCTTCTAGAAATGGTGCTGATCCTGGGAACAGCTGAGGATACACATTGAATGACAGTGTCAGTAGCTGGATATTCACCCATCCCCGGGCTCTTAAGAGACAGAAGAGTGCATCAAAGCAGAGAAGATAATCAACCCAGAAGATGGGCAGACCTACAAGCAGCAGGAAAGAGCAAGGGAGCAAACCACACAGCCCACAGCACTCCAACAACCAACTCTGTAGGCACGACAGTAGAGGAAATGTTGGAGAAGAATTTAGAAAGCCCCTAGTTAAAATGTTGAAAGAGCTTAAAGAATATGTAAGGAATGAATTTGGAGAAGATACAGGAAGTGGAAGAAAATTTCACTAAAGCCAGATTCTAAAAATGAACCAAATAGAAATTCTGAAAACGAAGGACTTGATTAACCAAATTAAAAATTCAGTAGAACCTCCTTTTTCTCCTGGTAAAAAATGTCTGCTGTGAAACGGGGTGCCGCGAGACGCCAGCCCCGTGGCCTCCTTCGTGTCTCCTGAGTGAATCAGGAGGCCACGTCCAGTGATTGACGGATGCCATCTAGAGTTTGCGTCAGTTCATCCTAAGGGTCCCCTAATGAAGGAACTTCCCCAGGATGCAAGCCCTGTTGCTAAGCAACAAGAGATGTAGGTGATGGAGTTGTAAAGAGGATTCGTTTTCTCGTTGAATCCGTCAACGTGAAATGGGCATTGACCTCCTCTGGACTTCCCTGGGGCCCAGGCTGTTTGATTAGGAGCCGGGGCAGCCTGGCTCCTGAGTTCAGCACCCCTGGGCTGCGGGGCGGGGACCCCTGGATACCTTGGACTGGGTTCTGTCGATGGCCGTGAGGAAGAGCAGGTGGGCCAGCAGGAGGCAGAGCGAGAGCTGCAGGTGCAGGGAGGTGCTGGTGTTCTGGATGGCTCTGCACAGGAGGAAGGTGAGGGCCGCCAGGACCAGGCACAGCAGCGACACGCCCAGCCCCACGCAGGTGATGAAGTCCAGCACAGGGTCCTTGTCCTGGGGCAGAGGGAGGAGCCTTCACAGCCACGTGCCCTGCTCTGGGGTAGGAACCCCTCTGCTATCTGTTATTTGGTGCAGCAGATTCAGGAATGGAGGGACTGGGTCCAGGTGTGAAGCTGATGGGGCTCCAGGTTGAGAAGGTTGGACTGTTAGGTTTTCTGAATGGAGCAGGTAAGTGGCTAGAAGAACCCGGATGTGTAGATTCCTTAGTCAAGAAGGAGACTGGGATTCCTGACTTTGGGGCACAGTAAGGCGGCATGTTGATATGTAAGTGTTTGTGAAGCCCTTGCTGAGTGTCCCTCTGTCCCTGTCCCACGAGGCCACAGGGCAGAACCTGCATCTCAGTTTCCAGGCATTAACCTCCCATCCCAGACACCACTGGCCTCAATCCAGCTCTGCCTGTTCCTTACTGACCACAAATCCCTGTGTAGTTAGAATTAGATACTTGGTTAAAAATAAAATTAATGATAACAGTAGCTTAAAGTTCACCTTTCCCCCATTTCTTTCTGAAAGTCATCTTAAAGCCATGAGGATATTTAAAAGCCCACCATCTATTTCAGTGTAATTGAGGGGAAGAGGAGAGAAGAGGAAAGAGGGAGGGGAAATGTTCAAATGGAAATGTTCAATGGTAAAATTTCAAAGCAGGCGCATCTGAATCACGTGCACACAGGTGTTGTTTGTGGGGATTTTGTTTTTGCAACATATCTGTAAATTTGAAATGGTTTCCCAAGAAAATGTTTGAAAACAAAGTACAAACCCTGCAGGTGACATTTGTGCACGCTACATTTAAGACCCTGATGTAAAGACAAAATTGGGAAATTAGGAGGCAGGACAGGGGAGGAGCAGAGGGAAAGAATGACACCTGATAAATGAAACAGAGGCAAAACTTTCAAAATAGATGCCTCTGGGTAAAGAGTAATGGTGTGGTGTGTTCTCTTTTCATTTCCTCATGGTTTTAAGAGGACTTGGAGAAATAGGTGGGAAAGTGTAAATTTTAAGTTACTATCATCATTAATTTTTCTTCCTTTAACTAAGTATCTGATCTATTTCTTCTATTTTTTGTTCTTGAAATGTATCAAAAAATTAAAATTGTTTCCTAAGAAAGCACTTAAAAATAAACGGTCCTCCAAGTGATATTAACATGTGCTGAATTTTGAGATCATCTGATGTAAAGACAAAATCTAATTTCTATAATATATAAAAAGCTCTTGGCTGAGACCTTTGTCATGCTCATAGTCACAGGGTGTTCACAGTAAATACCCATAATGTGAGCTCACCTAAGAGTCTGAATATGGGGAAGCATAAGTGTCCACTCAGTTGGATATAGGAGGAGGAGGTAAACAGCCCCCAGTCCAGACATCCTCTCTGACTACCCTGACCCCCTCTGACCTCCACCTTCACCAGACCTTCCTTTTTTGTAAACCTGAAACCCGACCATGGTTGACTTACAGACCCTGGTGGTAAGTAGAATTCTAACTTGGTGTTCATATGTCCACCCCCTGCTGTTACACAAACCTTCTCCTAATTATTAAATTCTCTGATAAACTAGGTGTTGCTGTAGAGGAATTTTGCAGGTGGAATTTAGGACTTGATCTGTTGACTTTTAGATTAGGGAGTTTATTCTCCTGATCTTGTGTAATCAAGCAATTTCTTTAAATATCTGGTTCTTCTTGGGAAAACAGATTCAAAACTTGAGAGGGATTCTATATAAGGGACATTTTCATGCTGGTTTTCAGATAGGAGCATTTTGTGAGAAGGCCAACCAGGGGTCATAGGAGAGGAAATGTGGGTGGCTCTTAGGAACTGAGTGTGGTCCCCCCTGACAGCTGCTAAGAGAAGGGAACTGAACTCTGCCTGCAACCAGGGAGCTGGAGGAGGGCTGCAAGACACAGAAGAGACTGTGGCCCTGAATGATATGATATTGTCAGTCTTTTAGAATCTATACAAGGAACGCATCCCCCTGTGCTGGGTTGCTGACTCACAGAAACCGCGAGGGAACAAATTTGTTTTACTTCAGCAGCGACATTTGCATAAGTATGTTTTGCAGCAATCAATGCTGAAGGCAGCCTCTCACCTGCACATGGTAGTGGACCATGAGGACAGCAAAGCTGCTGAGGTGGGTACAGTGGCAGGTGGTGCTGCCACCTCCGGTGCTCACTGTCCTGCAGCCTGCAGTGGTCCAGTGACTCCCATTCTGGCTGTGGTCCCAGGAGACACAGAGCAGCTCATGCCTTGGTGCAGGTGTCACCAGCTGTAGTAACAGGACAGGGATGTGAGCTGGTCTTCCTGCCTTCAGAGATGCTGACCCAGGAGGGGCTGGCTTTCCTGTGTGGGGTGCACCTGTGGGGAGTCCTGCTGAACCTCAAGGTTAAGAGGACAACAAGGGTGTGCCTGGGCCTGGGGCTCTTCCCACACAGTGGTCTCCCCCCACCCCACTCACAGGATGGGAGAAGGTGAAGGTAACTGGCGAGCTGAGGTTCTGGGTGTCATTGCTGCTAAAAAAGGCTGAGATGACATCGGAGAGCAGGACAGACGAGACTCTCGGCACCAAGTCCTCGTGTGTCCCATGGGGAGCCACCTGCTTCTCAGGCTCCAGGAC